TAAATCTCCTCATGGAGAGAAGAAATCGAAAAATAGTGGAAGTACTTTGTTCAGGGATTTAAATTTGACACCATCTAAGAATGAATTGATAACGGAAAAAAATATTTTTTAAATTCGATTTTATCTACTTTTATAGTTAGAGATTGTCTACTTTTATAGCTAAAATATCTTATTTTATATCTGTTAAATTTTCTACACACATAAAATTCGTAATAAGCTCAAATTATTCAAAAATATATAATAATGTAAAAACACAATTATGCATAAAATATAAGACGATAACGTGTGTATCTATATACACACAAATACAACATTTATTACTCTTAAATTCTAAGGTGAAGAGTCTCTCAAAACTTGTTGCGGGGCAATACTAGATTTTCAAATTACATTTCATCAACTCATTTCACTCACTTCATTATTAGGAATTTGAGTTTGTTTCATCCTTAACCATCTTCCACTTTAATTTATATTTCGTCTAGGTGATACACCTCCTCAACACATACATATAGAGATCCTGTGATTTAATCCATATGACAGATGAAAAGAATCAGAGGAAGACTCGATAGAACCATTGGCAAAGTCTGGACTATCGAAAAAGTGAAAAGTGATCTACACTATAGCTTCTCCCATTTCATTTCTTATTGTTGCTTTACTTTTTAATGCTTAAATAAGTTTATCTGTTTTCCAACACGGGGGGTAGTAACTGTTTTTTCTGTAGTAGGATATAGAGAGATTTTTTCTCTTTACTAAAGCCAAGACTGTATGAGGAGAGAAAAACTCAAGTCAAAATAATCGCACTGTTTCTATACCTTATCTCAAGTTACCCCTTAGTGCGGGTATGGGGCACTTTGTCAGAAATCGTTCATTTAGCAAGAAGTCATATTGCATGAAAGTACACACAACACGTAGAAGAAGAGTTCGAGTGTGAAAGCATTTACTTATGCACTTGCTAAACACTTAAGTAGCAAATACTGTATTTGTGGGTCGGCATTTTCCTGTGCTTGGATCACCTTTGTTTGTGTGCTTTAGTTTCCTTCTAAACATATTTAACGAAATTGTGAATCACAGAAACGCATGTTAGCCATGAACAAATATGGGTTTAAAGCTAGAGACAACAAGTAATCGTTTTGAATATGTCACTGTATTGCAGTAACCACATCCATCATAAGTCTGAATTATCTATATCAACAAAAAATTATAATCTAAATTAAGCAGTAGGGATTCTGTCCATTTGGGACTAGAGAAAGGCTTCAGAACAATTGCTTTGGTGCCTTTTCTTTTAAGTTATCATAGTTCTACACTTCTATACCTACTTTGTCAAGTAATGGATGGAACCAGTCAACTACAATTTTTTCATTTTATTTAGTATTTGACAAATTCATTATAAAATGCCATACATGAAATCTTCAAAAAACTGTGCTTGACAATGTATTAAAGAAAGAAGAAAGAAGCTCTGAAAATTCAAGCAATTATATAACAAATGAGATGCCAAATGTATTATTGAAACCATTTACCAACAAGAGTTAGTATGCATGATAAAGACTCGAATATAATCACAAACCAGCATTTCCAATGCCTCAAACCTACTTGCAATAATTTTAATTTTTTTTTTTCGATTATCGATTTAACCATTAGAGATGAATTTAAATTTGCCTGGTATATTCGGAGCCACGAACACAACTAAAACGTGGACAAAACACTCTCTCGCGCACACACATACATAATAATTTAAAAATAATCTTATTGGATTATCAATTTAACCATAAATCAAAATTATAAAATTGAAAATCAAATCAATAACTGAATTAAAAAAATCACAAAATTATTCAAGTTTTGATATCTGCATTGAAATTTGATTAATTGTATTCGTGTCGGATAGGGCATAATTCGAAGGTAGCGCTCCCTATCAAAATAATTTTAATACCCAAAATTCAAATTTAAAACCTCTAATTAAAAAAAAAAAACTACAACTTCATCTACGATACCATTCATATCCTTTTGCCTTCATGAGTCATGATTCATCCAAAACGATTTGTGCAAGCTTAAGTAGTACTTTTTTCACCAACCAAGAAACTTTTACTAACATGAAATTTTGTCTAAAAACACATATGTCCTTTTCACTAAGCTACGTATGGACGTGCGTTTTTTGCCGACGGCAGCCATTACATTATCAACTCATACATTCGATTTATTTTTACTGTTCGTTATATTTAAAAAATTAGTATTTATTTTTTTCTTATAATATAGTATTATTTTTAATCTTAATTTATGTGATATAATTTGACTTGACGTGAAATTTAAGAAAGAAAACACAAAAAAATGTTGTGGTCTGAAATAAATCATAAATATTTGTATGGTTATAAATCATTTCATAAAGATAAAATTACTATTTTAATTTAAATTATTACAAAATATATAAATTTATCATATATTTTGGGACTAACTAAAAAGAAAAATGAATTATAAACATTAGAATAGAGAGAATGATTATTTTTAGTTCATTTTATAGTACGTAAAAATGGTTTATAATATAATAACAATAATAACAAATTCAGTACAATCTCATAAAGTGAAGTCGGAAGAGGATAGTATAAGAAAGTTCTTGGAAATTTTGTTGAAACCTCAAAGAAACCAACATATTAATATTGACCAATCACATTTTAACTACTTTTCTTGTTTCTTAGAGGTTAGCATCAAATATTTCCTATATTCACACACACGAAAATTCTTAATTTAATAAGTACTACTTTTGTTCACACACACGCAAAAAAGTCGCACACAAACTTACATATATATCTTACTTCTACCTTCTCACATATTTTCAAACTTATATAATATACTAAAACATCTTCATTTTTAGTTTCATCAATAATATGACAGCCATGAAAAGAAGTAGAGAAGATGATATGCAAATTGAAGAAGAGGCTATGGCTAACTGCGCCTTAATGCTTTTGTCTCGTTTCAACAACACTTCTTCATTATCAGCTCATATTCACATTAATGATTTTGAATGCAAGACTTGTAATAAACGATTTCCGTCTTTTCAAGCCTTAGGAGGTCATCGTGCAAGTCATAATAAACGATCAAGATTATTCGGAGAGTTTCTTGTTCAAACCAATAAAAAGAATAAGATGCATAAATGCTCTATTTGTGGTATGGAGTTTTCTTTGGGTCAAGCTTTAGGTGGACACATGAGGCGTCATCGTGATGAAATTAATAAAACTACAGCTCATGAACAGACGATGATTCCGATTTTGAAGAAGTCAAATAGCATCAAGAGGATTTTTTGTTTGGATTTAAACTTAACCCCTCGTGATGATAATGTTGATTTCAAGTTATGGCCGATGGCACCAATTGCATCTCCTGTTTTGAGAACTTTTATTTAAGTCGTTGTTAAACTTTTAATCAGGATTAGAAGAATTAATTAGTTGCATGCAGTTATTTGTGGAATTCTTTCTATTCATTTTTTGTTGAGAATATAATCAAATAATTAAAAGTGTGCTCTCTTTAACAGCTTAAGCTTTTAGATGAGATAGTCACACACTTCAACATGGTATCAGAGCAGGCAAAGGTCCTGAGATCGAATCTCACCGCCACCCAAATCAAAAAGAATTTCTACGTGCTTAGCCCATGAAAAAAAATCAGACCCGCACGTGAGAGGGCGTGTTGAGAATATAATCAAATATAAAAGTGTGACTCTCTCTCTAACAACTTAAGCTTTTAGATGAGATGGTCACACACTTCAACATTTTATTATATATAATCCTTAATTATTAGTTCGCTGATTCTTTTATATATATATATATATATATATATATATATATATATATATATATATATATATATATATATATATATATATATATATATATATATATATATATATATATATATATATATATATATATATATATATATATATATATATATATATATATATATATATATATATATATATATATATATATATATATATATATATATATATATATATATATATATATATATATATATATATATATATATATATATATATATATATATATATATATATATATATATATATATATATATATATATATATATATATATATATATATATATATATATATATATATATATATATATATATATATATATATATATATATATATATATATATATATATATATATATATATATATATATATATATATATATATATATATATATATATATATATATATATATATATATATATATATATATATATATATATATATATATATATATATATATATATATATATATATATATATATATATATATATATATATATATATATATATATATATATATATATATATATTACCAGGATTTAGGTATTTACAAATCATATATTTGATTTTGTTGTTACCTTGTGAATATTTAATTATTGGAATAACAACATCGAACATATAAATAATTCAATCAAATGCGATGCAAATACTTCTATGTCTCTATAACAAAAGAGATATTTAGTGGCAATAGATTTAATGTCATTGCATCTGGTTCAAAGTCGCTAAAATCTTTAACGATATTTATATAGGGTGTTTTTTATAAAATATTCATATTGAAATCGACTTGAGTTTTCCTATTGATTCAAACTAAAAGAGATTTTCTTACGTTGGCTAATGTTTATATGTATAAAATCCTAATACTTGCAAAAATAAGAATAATTATTAATAAATTATTTCAAAGTTGAAAAATGTGTAAAAGAAAAAAAATGGTACGTTATGTTATCTAATGACTAGTAAATTTAAATGAGTTGACTAGTCAAAATTAAATGTCAATAACTACTAAATTTAAATTGAACAAGTTACGAGATGACTTTTCAAGCAGACTCTTGCTAATAAATTAATATCTGCGAACAAGTTAGTACACTAGAAATACAAACAAATTGTATAACTTCAAGTATCTATCTAACTACATTTCAACAATCTCTAACCTAAGAAAAAGTTACAATCAAAACTAAAGAGGAATTATCCCTGCATCAATGCATTCTCATTTGGTGTCAAATTCAAATCCATGAACAAAATTCTTTCACTACTCTTCGAATTCTCCTCCAATGTCTTCGTCTTCGTCTTCTTCTGCTCGTGTTGATTTAATTTATCGCGATGTTTTCTCATGTGTCCGCCCAAAGCTTGTCCAATAGCGAACTCTTCGCCACAAATAGAGCATATATGTTTTTTGGACTTAACAGATAATGAGTCGATGTTGATATTACTCATCGCAATGAGCTTAATCTCCCTATTCTTGTGGCTTGTCATGTGCTTAAGATGAATCGAATTGTTTTTTGCATTTAAAAACTTTATATCGTATTAATAACCCGTTTCTTTTTATTATATCCAAACAATTTGCCATCTCAAATTTCTCCACTGATTCATCTTCTACTCTATCTCTCTTTAACGTCATGTCCATAGTTGGGCTAAGTGTCCACACACTTTAATCGCTTTAATTTTATAGCGCTTTTAATAAAGTATAAAATAATTACAATAAGAGAATAGTCATCTTGTTGTTGGTAAGTAAATTGGAGTGAGTTCAATAATTATGATGTGGGGATTATTGAGTTAGTCTATTTATAATGTCCACTTTATTCTCCTAAACCAAGTTGGACTCGGATTATATAAAAAGTTATAAAGTAAATTTATGTTTCCTTATTTTAGACTGTTTTTTTTTCTTTCAGATTTGGTTAAATTTTTGTGGATTGAATAATAATTGAATCTTGTGGTTTGAATAGTCTTTGTGAAAAGTTAAAATTAAAGAATTGTTAAAAATGAAAAGAGATATTCTTTTTTAAGCAAACTAAAAATAAAAATAGGACAAACGAATTGAAACATAAGAAATGCTTAATTATCATGCTCAGAGGTCTATCGATGTAGATGGGTGATTACGGATTTATGTGAACTCAGCAGTTTGTGGTTATGTGCATAGACTCTCTATGACTATATATATTATTAATATATTTTTTACATATCTACAAATATTTAAAAATGTGAAACAAATAATTTATATTATTTTATTAACTAAAAATCGTTATAAAAATAAATAAATTTCAAATCAAGAATATGTCTCTCAATCATTCTTCTCTAGTATCGAATGTTAATTACCAAACGTTAGTTCAATTTCAACAGTTGACTTAAATACCTTAAATTTGGTAGAAAAAATTATTTTCCACATATAGGACTAGAAGGAAGGTTCATTCCAATTAGAGAAAAAAAAGCTAATTATTATTAATATTACATTAATTCAAAGTAATTAAAATTGCTAAGCAGTGATGCTTAATAACAGATAGGAAGCAAAGAGACATTTTATATGATACTTAAATAAAGTTAACTGCAAAAAATTATCTGGTGGCTACGTTGCGATATTTAGGCAAAATCGAATGATTTTTTTTTTTATGAAAAATAATTTGGTGATATTCTATGATACTTGAGAAAAGTTAAGTTATTTTTAAATTACAAAAAATAATTTATACTTTGAGAAAAAGTGGTAGGACTAGGAGTACGTAAGCAAATATGTGTTTTAGAAAGAAGCTCAACGAAACTACCTGAAAAATATTCCCCCACACATTATTTTATGAGTAGTCTTATTTTATTACTCAAACACGGTGAGCTCTACTTTGAAAACGACGATTTTTATTAATTAAATTTGTGACTAACTTAATCAATAAGTAAAAAGGAAACAACAAATCTTGGATAACACGTACTATATTAAATTCCACATAAAACTTTTGTCTGTATATATATGTGGAACAACACCAACAAAAGTATCATTTCTCACTTCTAAATTCTCCATTTCAAAAACTTAGTATACAAAAAAATCCTTATATTTTCATTTTTGATTCGTATAAACATGACAGCCATGAAAAGAAGAAGAGAAGATAATGGACAAGTGGAAGCAGAAGCTATGGCTAATTGCGCCTTAATGCTTTTGTCGCGTTTAAACAAGGATAATGATTTTGAATGTAAGACTTGTAATAAACAGTTTCCATCTTTTCAGGCTCTTGGTGGACACCGTGCAAGTCATAATAAACGGTCAAGATTACTAGGAGAGTTTCTTGTTCAAACCAACACAAAGAATAAGATGCATAAATGTTCTATTTGTGGTATGGAGTTTTCTTTGGGTCAAGCACTAGGCGGACACATGAGGCGTCACCGTGATAAAATTAATAAAATTACACCTGAAAAGACTATGATTCCAATTTTGAAGAAGTCAAATAGCAGCAAGAGGATTAATATTTTTGGGTTGAACTTAAACATAACACCTGATGATGATGATGACAATGTTGATGATTTGAAGTTATGGCCCATGGAAGAGGCTCCATCGCCCGTCTTGCGAATATTTATTTAAGTAAAAAAGCTTATAATTTGTTATTAGCCTTTAATTAGGATTAGGAGAATTAATTAGCTACATGCAGTTATTTGTGGAATTCTTTCTATTCATTTAGTCCAAAGGCAAATTCATATATATATAAACATCATAGTTGTCAGGGGTGTATAAAATCGAACCAAACCACAAATCGAATTTAACCGAACAAAAAACCTGACTAGTGGTTTGGTATTGGAAAAAAAAACCCCGACTATATTTGAGTTGGTTTGGTTTTAACTAAAAAAAATCAACCCGAGACCAAACCAACCCGGCATTATATATGTAATTTTAAAATTTTATTTTATACATAAAAATATTTACATTGATATAATTATAAAATATTTCTTATACTATTTCATAGTTTTTATCTTTCATATATTATTTCAAGTTTAAAACTTAGAATTCGGAATGGTCCAATAAAGACTATAGTTCATAGAAATCAAAATCAAATTAATACTAATGCAAAAAGAAAATCAATTCAACACTAAGAATGACAATAATATTGAATATTTGTTCTTTAGTTTTACATTGGTTTAGACAATTAAAATACATAATCTAATTTTAATTTTCCTTAAATATTTAGTAATGTAACTAATACTTATTAAACTTATTTTAGCATGATTTAGTACTTTTAAATTATGATCATTTTCATTATGACTTGGAAATATTTATTTATATGATGATTTCATTATTATTTTGTATTGAATATTTTAGTGTCATCACTCATCTCATATGTTGTGTTATTTTCTTAAGAAACACCTTAAATAATTGTATTTTGGTTGGACTAAAGAAATATTTGGAGCACAAGTTAATTATATGTTTGTATGCAAACTTTACCGAAAAAATCCAAAAATCTGAATAAATCTAAGGTTTATTAGTTTGGTTTGATTTATAAATTAAAAAATTCGACACAATGGTTGGTATTTGAAAAACCCAAACCAACCCGAAGGTTGAAAAACCCGAAAAAATCCAAATTTTATTAGTTTGGTTTGGTTTATAAATTTAAATTTTTTATACAAATAGTTTGGTTTGATATTTAGAAAAACCCGAACCAACCCTGCCATGTACACCCCTAGTCATAATAATCACATTCTACCACTAACTAATTTAATGAGAACAAAGAAAACATTATATGCCATCAACATGTCAAGCCAAATGCTACACAATTTGAGAGGATTGTAACATATTGTGATGACTTAATATTATATTAATTATAATATTAAAATGTAAAGGCACCAACAAAAAATATTTACACTTAAAAAGTAAATTGCCTTTTTTCACCAAAACCACTTAATTATGTTTTCTAACATAAAACCCTCAAACTTTACTTTTACTAATACACGTCAGAAAATTCAACTTATGGGTAATACTTTTTTTCTTTTGTATTTTTAATATAATAAATACAAATAATTTTACGAACGGATTAATTGTTACTACTACTTGCATCCAAAGTAATAATTTTGTCATAATCTTTCTAAATTCATTCACGTTTTTAGTATTTTAATTTTTGCGCTTGAATTTTGATTGGATCGGTTCTATTTAATTGGATTAGTATTTATACGACTAAAAATAAAATAAAGAAGTAGTAAAAGATTAGTATCGGTCGAGTCGATTGTTTAAAATTAAATTCATATTTATTAAATAAAAATAAAAAATATCATAAAGAGTTTCCATAGGAAGTTGAATTTTCCGTCATGTGTGATTTTTGTGTTAGTTGGGACAATGTCTTATAATTTTTGTGTTTGAAAACATAATTAAGTGATTTTGGTGGGGAAAAAATCATAATTATATGACCATTAATGAAGTTTATCCCTACTTTTAATTAATTAAAAGTTTAGAATTTAAACTCTAAAAGTTAAAGAAATTATATCCTAATTTTTTTCTTCAATATATAGATTTTACACGGCATGAATCTGAATTAATTTCTTTACGTTCAAAACAATCTCATGAAAACCAGAATACAAATAAAAAGTTAGTTGCATCATATATCCAACCGCCAAACAAAATTTGACTCCCTCACAATTTATGTCATTTTCCTTCATGAATCTTTGACTCCTACAAAACGATTTGTGAAAGTAATACTAGTAGCACTAAACCATGTTGCCTTGTTTTTTTTCTTCCAACTTGTTTACAAACACATTGCTCTCATAACCCTCACCAACCAAGAAACTAATATTCGTTTCGTCCCATTTTAGGTGACATCGTCTTATTTGACATAATATTTAATATATATATATATTTTTTTATTTTATTTTTTTATTATTTTTTTTAGACTTGTAGTTTAAAACAAATTTTCCGTTTTTGCGTTGTTGTAAATCATTTCATTAAAGGTACAAATAAGTTAAATTATTTCGAGCTATAATAAGATAACATTCTTTTCAAAACAGATTAAAAAGAAATAACATAAATAGGAATAGTTTATTGTGAAGTATAAAGTGTAACAATTTTAGGATAAAATATAGGATTACTTTATCCCATGTTTGATTGAAAGTATTAGGTATTATTTATCCCATCATTTTAGTCATAATAATTGAATAAGTAATATACATGACCGAATAACTTGTTCCAATCAAACGACCCTAATAGTAATATAAAGTTAGTCTTAAAAAAGCACATTGTCCTTTTCACGACGCTACGTATGCACGTGTTTTTCTTTTTTCAACCCTTTATGTCATTTTCCTTCATGAATCTTTGACTCCTACAAAACGATTTGTGAAAGTAATACTAGTAGCACTAAACCATGTTGCCTTGTTTTTTCTCTTCCAACTTGTTTACAAACACATTGCTCTCATAACCCTCACCAACCAAGAAACTAATATTCGTTTCGTCCCATTTTATGTGACATCGTCTTATTTGACATAATATTTAATATATATATATTTATTTATTTTTTTATTTTTTTATTTTTTTTAAACTTGTAGTTTAAAACAAATTTTCCGTATTTGCGTTGTTGTAAATCATTTCATTAAAGGTACAAATAAGTTAAATTATTTCGAGCTATAATAAGATAACATTCTTTTCAAAACAGATTAAAAAGAAATAACATAAATAGGAATAGTTTATTGTGAGGTATAAAGTGTAACAATTTTAGGATAAAATATAGGATTACTTTATCCCATGTTTAATTGAAAGTATTAGTTATTATTTATCCCATCATTTTAGTCATAATAATTGAATAAGTAATATACATGACGGAATAACTTGTTCCAATCAAACGACCCTAATAGTGATATAAAATTAGTCTTAAAAAAGCACATTGTCCTTTTCACGACGCTACGTATGCACGTGTTTTTCTTTTTTCAACCCTTTATTTGGTCAACCATACACATATGAAGGCAGTTGGAAGTGTTCTAGAAACCTCAAAGAAGCCAACATTATTTTACTTTTCTTTGACTCACTTAACCAACAAGGAAAATTCAGACACACGCAAAAAAGTCAAGACACAAACTTATATATATGTGAGGCAACACCATCCAAAGTGTATCATATTCTTAAACTTCTAAATTCAAATCTTTCTTTCAAACTTCTAAATTTGATAATACAATTTGTAAAAATCTTCAATAATATGACATCTATGAAAAGAAGCAGAGAAGACAATATGCAAGTTGAAGTAGAGGCCATGGCTAATTGCACCTTAATGCTTTTGTCTCGTTTCAACAACACTTCTTCATCATCAGATCATCATCACATTAATGATTTTGAATGCAAGACTTGCAATAAACGCTTCCCGTCTTTTCAAGCTTTAGGCGGTCATCGTGCAAGCCATAATAAAAAGCCAAGATTACTCGGAGAGTTTCTTGTTCAAACCAACAAAAAGAATAAGATGCATAAATGCTCTATTTGTGGTGTGGAGTTTTCTTTGGGTCAAGCCTTAGGAGGGCACATGAGGCGTCATCGCGATGAAATTAATAAAACGTCGAGGATGATACCAGTGTTGACGAAGTCGAATAGCAGCAAGAGGATATTTTGTCTGGACTTAAACTTAACCCCTCGTAATGATAATGTTGATTTCAAGTTATGGCCGACCGCACCAATTGCATCTCCTGTTTTGAGAATCTTTATTTAATTTGTTCATTTTAGACATTTTGCATTCATTTTTGTTGTATATAATCCTTAATTAGTTCGTTCATTCCTTTACTTCAGTAACGTAATAAAGTTTGATTCAATTAAAGTTTTGCAAAATAATTCTCACAAGTCATATCACCAAAATATATAATAATGGACTAATCCACACGAAAATTGAAAAAATTGCCTAATTCATATAAATTGATCCCTAGATGTCCAAAAATGACTATAAAAATGATGATTACTACTCCCTCAAAAGGTTTTGCGAAAATTATCCGAAAGTCATATCACTAAAATATTCATGGGCTAACACATCGAAAAATTGAGAAAATCGCCTAATTCCTCTAAATTAGCCCCTAAATTCCTAAAAATCACTCTAAAAATGGAGAAATTGTATGTACTGCTCCCCCAACTCCTTATAGATAGAGGGTTCCATAAAGGTTTCATAAAAAAAATTCGGGAGGCCATATCACCAATATATTCATGAGCTAACACACACGAAAAACTTCGCTTAATTCCTATAAATTGGCCCTAAATGCCCAAAAATCACTCTAAAAATGGTGAGATTGTATGTACTGCTCCCCTAACTCCATATAGAGGGTTCCGTAAAGGTTTCACAAAAAATTAGTCTAGAAGTCATAGTGATATGAATTTTGGACGATTTGTTTGTGAAACCTTTATGGAACCCTCTGTAGGGAGTTGGGGGAGCAGTACATACAATCTCACCATTTTCGGAGTCCATTTTGGGTATTTAGAGGGCAATTTACAGGAATTAGGTGATTTTCTCAATTTTTCGTGTATGTTAACCTAGGAATATTTAGGTGATATGGCTTCCGCCCCGAGGGACAAACAGACACATTTTCAAATTCAAACGAGCCCCAAAACGAGAAAACCAAATTTTCTCATTTTTCGTGTGCTATTGTCCATGAATTTTTGGTGATACGGAATCCTGGCTTGTTTTTGGCCGAATTTTTTCATGAATTTTCATTATGACCTTATTAATGGTGTGAGTTGGTCCCGAGGGGGAAACAAACGCATTTTCAAGTTCAAATGAGCCCCAAAGCAGGAAAAACCAAAATTTACTATTTTTCATGTCCTATCGTCCATGGATTTTTGGTGAGACGGGATCCTAACTTGTTTTTGGCCGAGCTTTTTCATGGACGTCCGTTGCGACCTTATAAATGGCGTCGTGAATTGGTCCCGAGGGGAAAAAGAAGCATTTTCAAGTTCAAACGAGCCTCAAAGGGGGGAAAACCTATTTTTACCTTTTTCGTGTGCTATAGTCCATTATAAATTTTTGGTGATATGGGATCCTAGCTTGGTTTTGGCCAAAAATTTTCATGGACGTACGTTACGACTTTATTAATGACGTGAGTTGGTCCCGAGGGGCAAATAGACGCATTTTCAAGTTCAACGAGCCCCAAAGCGGGAAAAACCAAATTTTATCATTTTTCGTGTGCAATAGTCCATGAATTTTTGGTGATACTGGATCCCGACTTGTTTTTGACCAAAATTTTTCATGGACGTCTGTTACGAACTTATTAATGGTGTGAGTTGGTCCCAAGGGGAAAACTGATGCATTTTCAAGTTCAAAATTTTACCATTTTTCGTGTGCTATAGTCCATGGATTTTTGTTGATACGTGATCCGACTCTTTTTTAGGCCGAAATTTTTCATGGAAGTCTATTACGACCTTATTAATGGCGTGAGATGGTCTTGAGGGGTAAACGGACGCATTTTCAAGTTCAAACGAGCCCCAAAGCGGTAAAAACTGATTTTTACCGTTTTTCTTGTGCTATATAGTCCATGGATTTTTGGTGATGGGTGATCCTGACTTGTTTTTGGCCGAAATTTTTCATAGATGTCCGTTACGACCTTATTTATGGCGTGAGTTGGTCCCGAAGGCAAACATATGCATTTTCAACTTCAAACGAGCCTCAATGCGGGAAATATCGAATTTACCATTTTTTGTGTGCTATAGTCCATGCATTTTTAGTGATAGGTGATCCCGACTTGTTTTTGGCCGAAATTTTTCATGGACGTCTGTTACGACCTTATTAATAGCATGAGTTGGTCTCGAGGGGCAAACAGATGCATTTTCAAATTCAAACGAGTCCCAAGGCGGGAAAGACCGAATTTACCAATTTTTCTGTGTTATAGTCCATGGGTTTTGGTGATACGTGATCCCTAATTTTTTTGGCCAAATTTTTTCATGGACGTCCGTTACGATCTTATTAATGGTGTGAATTGGTCCCGAGGGGTAAACAGACCATTTTCAAGTTCAAATGAGCCTCAATGCGGGAAAGACTGAATGTACCATTTTTCGTGTGCTATAATCCATGAACTTTTGGTGATACGTGATCCTGACTTGTTTTTGGCTTTAAAAACCAAATGTAAGTCTCCCTTACCTTTTAATTTTTGACTTAAAAATCATTGAAGTTTGACTTTTTATTTTTTGATTATTTTTAGTCAATCCAAACGAGCTCTTATTTATGAAAGTAACAGGAGGACGACGAAAAGGAACAGCCCACACTTATTGAGAATGAGATGATGATATCAAATTGTCTTTTTTTTTATATTGTAAAACTTAAATAATATATTTTTAAAATATAATTAAATACAATATAACAAATATCATTGCGTTCGTCACCATCACCAACCTAAAAAAAAGTACTATTACACTGTTGCTGCTAGTTAATTAGTGCTAATTAAAGAATTAGCACTAAACCATGTTGGTTGGTCTTTTGGTTTCAACTTGTGTGTTCCAAGTCACTGCTTTAATCACCAAGAAAGTACAATTTATCCTTTTCAAATGGCTACGCCATGTGTTTTCCGCAGCCCCTGATAATGTCAATCTTAATACGTCGTTTTAAATTAGATGTAATATTTTATATTTCAAAATTTAAGTTATTTGAATATGAATTGATATTGTAAAGTATATTTGTAAAAGAAAACCCACAATTTTATATCTATCTACCATTTATTTCATACGTAAATAAAATTTATAGTTGATAATAATTATTACTCTTACCAATCTTTAAAACCATTTATGTCGGATATAATCATTATTCTCACCAACCAAATTTATAGTTGATATTATTATTCTTACCAACTTTTAAATCATTTATAATATTGGATATAACCATTACCCTCACCAACCAAATTTAAAATTGATATTATTATTCTTACAACTTTTTAAACCATTTACATTGAGAAATGGATGCTCAATTGTCCATACTATGTAGGAGAATTATATTAAAGAGTAGTACATTACAATCCATGTTCAATTTTTTTTTTATTAAGTTAAAGTTCGATTAATAAATATTGTATTTTATTTTTAATTTTTTTTTATGATAGCGCATTTTATTTTTATTATAATTTTTTGTTTATTTACTAAGATTGTATAAAAAATCGAAACATTTTCTTTAAAATACAAATATCTCGATTCTTTATACAATCTTAACAAATGAATAATTTTCTTATTCCTTAACCGGAAAAATATGTGGCCATGACATGTGAGTAGTAGAACGTCTGCTCCTACTTGGAAGTGTTCTAGAAAGCTCATAGAAGGCAACATTACATTACTTTTCCGCTCACATGAAATGACCTGAAATATTCCTTATCCACATGATTGACTAACGCGTTACTACCTTCAAATCAATTGATTCCTTTTCCACTTGTAAAGTACTACTTTCGGCGTCTATTTTTATTTGTCCGTTATATTATTTTGAGATATTTTAATAATATTTATTCAGTTTATAAAATTAATGAATTTATGTTTAATAAGGGTGATTTGGTAAATTATTTCTGTCATTTACCATTTCTAATTAATTCGTGTTTAAAATCAAATAGTAGACAATTATTGTTGAATAGATAAAGTATCTCTAGTATTTCTTTGACTCACTTAACCTAAAAGTCAAACATTATTAATTGTCACTAATTAATAAAGAATAATGTGATGCACGTTTTTTTCAAAAACACGTCAACCTTGTCTTATCTCATACCTATATAAATTTGAAGCAAAGAGCAACCAAATGTGTATCATATTCTTCACTTCAAACTTCAAACTTTCACACATTTCTTCAAACTTCAAAAACAACTTTGTGTCTTCATTCTTGATAATATGAGTGCCTTAAAAAGAAGCAGAGGAGAGGATGTGCTAGTGGAAGCAGAGGCCATGGCTAACTGCGCCTTAATGCTTTTGTCTCGTTTCAACACCAACAACTCATCAGATCATCATCATATTAATGATTTTGAATGCAAGACTTGCAATAAACGCTTCCCGTCTTTCCAAGCCTTAGGCGGTCATCGTGCAAGTCATAATAAAAAGCCAAGATTACTCGGAGAGTTTCTTGTTCAAACCAACAAAAAGAACAAGATGCATAAATGCTCTATTTGTGGTGTGGAGTTTTCTTTGGGTCAAGCCTTAGGAGGGCACATGAGGCGTCATCGCGATGAAATTAATAAAACGTCGAGGATGATACCAGTGTTGACGAAGTCGAATAGCAGCAAGAGGATTTTTTGTTTGGACTTAAATTTAACCCCTCGTGATGATAATGTTGATTTCAAGTTATGGCCAACCGCACCAATTGCATCTCCTGTTTTGAGAATTTTTATTTGATATTATATTCTTGTAGGATTAGAAGAAGCTGTAATACTTCATTTGTTAATTCTTTTAATGTATTCATTCATTTTTCTTATATATTTTCTTAATTAATTCATCCAGTTTATATTTTGCAATTAATCGTAAGTTTAGCAAATATATATAATCAAAATTATCTAAGGTATGACATGACATGACATCGAGTCAGATTTGATTTTTTGCTAATTTGGCATTGGATAACGACTTATTTGCGCTTGATAAGTACGGGAAAAAAAGTTTCAATGTTGATAATTTTCGAAATCAACCAATTAGAATGATCTAAGCAAATCTATGTTTGTTTTTGACTACTAATTGAACTGTATAAGAGAGAGAGAGAGATGGCAACAATAATTAGCTATACTAGGAAGAAAACATAAAATGAAAATGTTTTGCACTATTTGAATTTAGAACATGTCAAAAAAATATAAAAGTGAACGGTTATATTTCTCTTTAACATATTTGTGG